AAAGATCAGATGAAACCTCTGAATTAATGACAAGTATGTGAGGTGGACACGTCATGTATCGTCGTGGGCCAGTTTGCATTCTTGAGATGTATAACTGACATCGCTTTGCTAGGCAGCATGGATTTCATCAAAGATTACCGGGTACTCCTTCACATCCATCAATAATTTTATTGGATGCCTTTTTTATATCGGGTGTAGTTGAGTTTAACCAGGATAAACAGTGGGGCAGGATTCCATGTCCTTAATAATTGCGCTCGCATTGAGAATCGATGTGACAGTAGTTATAACAACTGGTGGAAATATGATGTACTTCCACACCTAGACGGCATCAATGTAAAACCTTGTTAGCTAGTGAATCTGAGAATTTCAAATTCAAAGCTCAAGCTGATGGGTCAGGGAAGGGGAAATCCCTTCCTACAGTAGCTAAAGCTCCTTCACGTCTTCGAAAACGGGACACTTCAAAGGATTGTTTGAATTCTCAAGAAACAACCGACTCCGAAGATGTTAAAGGCCACAACACCTACTTCAAGATCAGCTAATGTTCGATTTGTTCATCCTTTAAACATCTCAGAGTCTGCTAAAGTGAGTTCGTCAAACGAATATGATCATGCACTCCTTTCAGCCCGCATGTCTAAGAGTATTTTCAAGAAACATGATATAGGCTCGAATCGAGGAAGGATTCCAAGCACAATTGTACCAGTTGATAATCTTAGTTCTATTAAGCAGGTAATTCAAGAGAGGTGCCAAACAGGAGCTACAAAATCCGAGCATAATTTGGCTTGTACCTGGACAAAAGATGGTGCAAATCATACTACTATAAAATCTCTCACAAGCAGGTTGACCCATCTTGTGATGTTCTGAATGACTTATCAACTTTTTTAGAAATATCCCCACGATCCCGCAATAAAGGTGCTTGCAAAATTTTATTACTATTATCATTTTTTTATTTCAAACCTCTTATCCTTTTTTTTTTTTTTAGCTTGTCCTCCACTCCCAGATCTTGTCACATTAAATTTCATCCCAAGTATTTGTGGAAACCAAAATCTTGACAATGATATCATTGAAGCTTTATTTGATGACAACGATCGGACCATGTCCATTCTTTCCAGCAGTGGAGGGATTCTTCCTTTGGTTGATGGAGAACATACCAATCCATGTGAAGGGGAAGTTAATTCTAAAATAAACTCTTCATGTGTTATACAAGCAGGGCAAGAAGCTATTAATAATTTTATTATGAATACTCTTCTTGAGCCATATGGACCTGGTGAAGCACGATCTCCAAGACTAATGCCGATGTTTTCATCTGTCTCAGGTATATTTTATTAGCCTGATCTAGTTGCCCTTTCGATTAGTATGCAACTAATTGCATATCTTTATTTGTGTCAAGTCCTCCTATTGAAACAATTACTTCTGAAAGATTGGGAAAGAAAATAATTCTGACCGGGATGCCCCCATATTTGAAGGGTGAATTTGATTATGCCATGAAAAATGGCTTCTCTGGATTGAAGACCTGGTGGATCTCTAAGTCTTCAAGTATTGAAGATACTCTTAAAAAGCTATTCTATGTTGACACAGATCCTTTGGTGAGAAAAATGGATTGTCTCCTTATGAAAGTAGATGAGTACCTTTCAAAACGCTAGAAAAGTGTCAAAGTTTTAATCTTTGGAGAAAGATAGAAGGTTGGCGACAATTGATAGCACGATATCAAGAGGACAATTCAAAGTTCTTGGCTTGAGTGAACAACTGTTGAAATCTGAAGTAGAGCTATTGAGTCTTGATGATGAAATCCGGCAATTGCAAGATTGAAGGGGCGAGGTAGCATCTAGCATTGACTTCATTCTTGATGAATGACAAAACACTTAAGAGACTATTGTGGTGATGGAAAAAGACTGTGTCAAACTCCAGGAGTCTCATATTCGCAGCATTGAGGAGATATAGGATATAGATAAGATGTGATCCATATTAAAAAAGCAATTTGTTTCACTAGCCTCGATCGACTGGGTTGAAAATTTTGTATGATCTCATAAATTGATTCTCAAATAACTTAGATATCTCAAAGAAAAAGTTTAAGTTTAAACATAATTTTGAAGGAATTTTTTTTTTGTTGAGTCGTACACAGTTTTAACTCATGCGGTCTAGGAGTAAAAAAAAAATTTTTTTGGTTAAGTCATACACAGTTTTAACTCATACAGGCTAGAAGTAAAAAAAAAAATTTTTTTTTTTTTGGGTTAAGTTGTACACAGTTTTAACTCATGCAGACCAAGAGTAAAAAAGTTTTTTTTTTTTGGTTAAGTCGTACACAGTTTTAACTCATGCAGGCTAGGAGTAAAAAAAGTTTTTTTTTTGGTTAAGTCGTACACAGTTTTAACTCATGCGGCCCAAGAGTAAAAAGGTTTTTTTTTAAGCCGTATACAGTTTTAACTCTTACGGGCCAGAAGTAACATGCAGTTTAGGCTCGTGCGTAAAGGAGCGTATAGACCTTTATTTTTGGTCAAGCCATACACAGTTTTAGCTCATGCGGGCCAGGGGCAACAGTTTTTTATTTTTATTTTTGTTTTATAGGTTGGCGCCGTGCACGGTTTTAACTCATGCGAGCTAGGAGTGACATGTAGATTAGACTCGTGCGTAAAAGAGCGTTGCTTATTTTCAGGCATAGAAACGCTTTAAGAATTTCCCATTGATTGGGCCAACCCTCAAGTCATCTTTGTCAACAATCTTGTATGCGTCGTTGGTGTAGACTTTTTTCACCACATATGGACCATCCTATTTTTGCATGAATTTTCCACCAGTGTGATGTAGAATGACAATGGGTCTTCAAATTGCAATGACCAAATCTCCTATTTGGAATGATCGGACATGAACCCTCTAATTGAAGGCTTTGGAAAGTCTGGCTTGATAACATTCCAGGTTTTGTTGTGCATCTAGTCTCTTCTTGTCAAGTGCTTCAAGTTCATCCAGACGTAAATGAACATTTTCTTCATTTGTGAGTTCTTCTTGTAAGGCAATTCGAAAGGAGGGAATTTGACGTTTCAATGGAAGAACAGCTTCAATGTCATACACAAGGTAATATGGAGTAGCTTGTGTTGGAGTTCGGTATGTTGTTTGATATGCCAAGAGAGCTTCACCAACCCTTTCATGTCAATCCTTCTTTGATTTGGAGACAACTTTCTTCAACAAGTTCCACAAGGTTTTATTGAAGACTTCTGCGAGTCCATTGGCTGGTACGTTGTACATAGATGAATTATGTTGTACAAACTCAAATTTGATGCAGAGCTTGACCATGAGGCTATTGATAAATAGTTTTCCATTATCAGTGATAATGTAACGAGGTACACCATACCGATATATAATATTTGTTTGAATAAAGTCGACAACATTTTCTTTTTTCACTTCTTTAAAAGGAACTGTTTCTGCCCACTTGGAGAAATAATCGGTTGCTGCTAACATGTAAAGATGTCTTGCTGATGATTTTGGAGTCAAAGGTCCTACGACATCAAGTCCCCATGCATCAAAAGGCCATGATGCAACATTAGGATGCAATGGTTCAGGTGGCTGGTGAATGAAGTTGGCATGGAACTGACAAGCTTGACATTTCTTAGTGTAATTCATCGAGTCTTGTACCATAGTGGGCCAGTAATACCCTATTCTCTTTATGCGAAAATGTAGGCCCTAATTGATGAGCACCACAGATTCCAGAATGAGCTTCTTCGAGTGCTTGAGCAGCTTTATCTTCATCCAAACATCGTTAAAAAATACCATCAAATGAATGACGATATAGGATGCCTTTATAATAAATAAATCGAGAAGCTCTTCGTCGTATCTCAGTTCCATGACGTGGGTCATTTGATAATTTTTCATACTACAAATACTCAATCAAAGGTTGCCTCCAATCTTCATTTTCAACTTGCACTACTGAAATGGTAGTAACTTCCTTCATTTCAGAGAGTAACGGAGGTATTACCCATCTTTGACAAACTGAAAATGAAATTATTTGGTAATAGGGTTTTGTAAGCATGACTGCAAGATTGGCAAGAGCATCAGCATATCTGTTTTCACCGTGTGGTACATTTTCAATGGTGACTCGATCAAACTGACTCATAAGTTGAGTTGCATAGTGACAGTATGAAATCAAATCTGGTTTGCGAACATCGTATAACTCCAAAACTTGATGAACCACCAACTACGAGTCTCCATAGATTTCCAACTGAGAGAGCTGCATATCAAGTGTCATTTCTAAGCCAATAATCAAAGCTTGGTACTCCGCCATGTTATTAGAGCAAGACTCTGTAAAGGTAATTGCATAAGGCAATACTTCGTCTTCAGGGGTAATTGAGACCACACCTGCACCAACTTCATACCTTCGAGCAGCACCATCAAAGTATAACATCCAAGATGGTATGAAGTCAATGAAGAAAACTTCTTCATCTAGCAATTCTTCTGGTAATTCCCAGTCTATAGGGATCAGGTGATTTGCAAGAAAATCAACTAATGTTTGTCCTTTGACTGCTCTTTGTGGATCATAAACTATGTCATGTTCAGACAATAGAAGTGCCCACTTTGCCAACCTTCCTGAGAGAACTGGTCTTAACATAATGTACTTGACAGGATCAGATTTTGAAATGAGATGAACATCATGAGCTAGCATATAATGTCTCAACTTCTTTGTAGCGAAGACTAATGTAAGACACATCTTTTCAATAGGTGAGTAGTTTAGTTTTGCACCTACTAATGTCCGACTCAGATAGTATAATGTGTTTTTATTTCCCTTGTCATTAACTTGTGCTAAGAGTGCTCCTAATAACTATTCTTGGGCAGCAATATAAAGGATCAATAGTTCTCCTTGAATTAGTGCTGCGAGGACCGGGGGATGAATGAGATATTATTTTATATTTTCAAAAGCATTCTGACAGGCATCATCGCATTCAAAAGGAACACCCTCTTCATTAGTTTATTGAATAGATGACAACATCCGGCAAAGTTCGAGATAAATCTTTGTATATAGGCAAGTCTTCCTTGAAGACTTTTCAAGTCATGTAGATTGCGAGGCTCTGACATCTTTAGGATAGCCTCTATTTTTGATTGATCAATCTCGATGTCTCGATGCCCGACGATAAATTCGAGGAACTTGCCAGAGGTAACCCCAAAGGCACACTTTAAGGGATTCATTTTTAGTTGATATCTTTGAAGTCATTCAAAAATGTTGCACAAATCATCAAGATGATCTTCACGTCTTTTTGTCTTTACGACCAAGTCATCAACATAACATTCAACCCTTTTGTATAGTACATCATCAAAAATCTTTTGCATTGCACGTTGATATGTGGCACCAGCATTCTTGAGTCCGAAGGGCATCACTCTGTAGCAGTAAACTCCCTTGGGGGTTCGAAATACAATGAGTTCTTCGTCCTTGGGGTCCATTCAAATTTGATTGTATCCATAGGAACCATCCATGAAAGATAGGACCTCATCTCCCGTAGTTGCATCAACCATGAGTTTTGTAATCGGCAATGAAAAATAATCTTTCGGACATGCTTGATTTAAATCTCTGAAATCTACACAAACTCGAATTTGTCCATTTTTCTTTTTGACAGGTACAATATTAGCAATCCATGTTGAATATTTGACTTCTCGAATGAATCCAGCGTCTATCAACTTGTTGACTTCAGCTTCGATCTACGGGACTAGTTCTGAATGGAATCTTCGTTGTGGCTGCTTAATGGGTTGAA